AGTATAAATTATCTCCAGTGTTCTAGGATCTAGGGAAACCATCCCTCAGCCCCAGCCACAAAACCCCACAGGCCTTACTTTGTTGGCAGGCTGAAAGAAGGGATACTGCAGCAAGCAAAATTAAATCGCCAGCCATGTTCCCAGCAGCTTCCGTCTCCTGTGCAGCCAAGGTACTGTGTCAGAGTGAGTGAGTGTGTGTGTGTGTGTGTGTGTGTGTGAGAGAGAGAGAGCGCTACAGACAAAGAAGCAGGTTGGGGGCAGGGAGTGAAAATGCTTTTCCAAGACACACCTTAAGAAGAAAACAGAGCAACTTTTATTTTTCCCTTTTAAATGAGCAGTGACTGCTTAGCCAGTTCTTGTTTCCTTGACCTGAAAATTGTTTTCATACTTGAATAGTCAGGTGGTGCTCTACTAACAAGTGCTGCATTTAGGAGTCAGCTGATTTACATCAAGTAACCAAGAAGTGAAGTTGGGTAAAAAATGCTGAATCCTTTTAGTGAAAAATTGAAAATTGTGTACTTCAGACTTCTAGGAGAAGCTGGTGGACAGAGAGCAAAAACAACCTCCCTAGGAAGTGGGGGACTTGTGGGGAGGGAGAGTATTGTAACAGCCCTAGGATTCGTTTCTGGCTCTTGCTGAACAACTCAGCTAAATGCAGACTAATTAGGCAGGCTGGTCTCCACCTAAAAATTAGATTGACCTGACTCATGGCTTAGGGGTGTGAAAAATGTAGTGCCCTGGTGTGAGGCTCAGATAGTTAGATTGACCTACTCCTCACTGTGGGAGCAGGTAGGTTGAAGGAAGAATTCTTGGAGTGGGATTAACTATATTGAAGGAAAAATCCTTTCTGGGAATGTAGGAAGCGTCTATATTACAGCGGCACAGCTGTTGTAGCCACTGCAGTATAGACATGGACTAAGGGATGACATGACAACTGCCTATGGTTGTCTGTAGGAGTAAACACTAAGGGAGAGGAATTGTTTAGGGGTAAAAATAACAATAATGGAATTTTTAGAGTAGCAGCCGTGTTAGTCTGTATCCGCAAAAAGCACAGGAGTACTTATGGCACCTTAGAGACTAACAAATTTATTAGAGCATAAGCTTTCGTGGACTACAGCCCACTATGCATCCGAAGAAGTGGGCTGTAGTCC